CTTCATTTTTCTGGCGCCATGGCCGATTTTTTAGGCGCATTTGGCGCGTTGGCGCTTGTGAGTTTTGAACACTGATTGGTAAAATGGCAACAATGCAAATGACTTCCAACTTCCCGTTCGAAGAATCATTTTCTCCGTAAGATTTTGGAGAGGAAACCGTGACGCTTTTGTCTGGTTAAGATCTTGTCCACGGGCTCATGTTTGTTTTAAATTGAAGGAAACTGTTTTGAGCCGAAACTAATTTCTTCAAATCAAAGAATATAATATTTTTACTTTCTTTAAAAAAACATTGTTGGTATAATTAACTTCATTGCATGACAAGAGATTGAGTGTGACCCCGGAGAAATAGACTTCATTTTGCAATCATCCTGATTCATCCATATAAACACTCATGTGCGTAGGGAAATTGATAGTACATACGTTGCTTTTAAACTGAGCCGGAAATTATGGTTCCAAATTGCTAAATGTGACCCAAATGGATAAATGAGATATCTTGAGGCATCCCATTTTTACTCCCATGTACCTAAGTTTTATTTCTCTGACATAAACCTCGATAGCGAAAAATAAACCACACTGGGAAAAAAAACATTGGATCTTGAGTCCGGACTCTTAAAAACATCGACAAGAAAAAATACTCTTGATTCAATCGGATTTTTGCTTAGATCAAGAACCAAAGCTGAGCGGATTTCCTTTTGATTTAAGCTTAAATCTGATTGAATCAAGAGTATTTTTTCTTGTCAATGTTTTCAAGAGTCTGGACTCTAGATCCAATATGTTTTTTTTTCCAGTGCAGTCATATCTACATTACAACCTTTTTTAAAAAAACCTAACTGTTCAGCGTGACCTTTTGGGTTAAATTTAGTGGTGGGAGGGCAGAGTTTGGGGCAAATTCTGTAGCAGAAGCCCAGCACAATGGAGGATTAGAATTAAAATAGCCTCTTGGGTGGCCTTGAGCGGATAGGACGTTTTCCCCTTCACTTTTGCAGATGTGATCAACTTGCTAAATCGAGAATGGTGGTAAGATATCAAGTCTCATCTGCGCGAGTATTAAAAACACTTAAGCGATGATCCTCTTCCGAGTATCCTCGCGTCGATAGGAACGTCCGAACGTGCGAATAAATTAATAGGAAGCTTTAAAAAAACCAGATCTGGCTGTCGACAAAGGAGCCGAAATCCATATGCATGAGGTCCGCGCGGAGGTTCCACAGCGACGTCGCAGATGAAAGCTTATGCGCTGTACACGAAAACGTCCACGTTGTTGTCAAAGGGGTCCAAACATTTCTTCTCCTGTTTTCTTCGTTGCACTTTGGAAACATTTTTGAAAAACCTCACAAACACGTAAACGTGATTGAGCGGCATACACACTCACTGGAAAAAAAAACCCATTAGATCTAGAGTCCAGACTCTTGAAAACATTGACAAGAAAAAGGACTCTTCATTCAATCAGATTTAAGCTTAAATCAAAAGGAAATCCGCTCAAATTAAGAGGCTAGGTTCTTGATTTAAGCTTGAATCTGATTGAATCAAGAGTATTTTTTCTTGGCGATGTTTTTAAGAGTCTAGACTCTAAATCCAATGTGTTTTTTTTTTTCCAGTGCTGGAAAAAGCGACTTTCATCAAATATTCAAAAGTGACGAATGATTTAGCGGCAAACCATTGTGATCTCTTGGGAGGATTCATTTCCAGCGATACAATACTACATTCTACTCGAGGTTCGCAGAATTTGTATTTTTTTAGATGATATGGTCGAGGCTCCTTGAACCTTAAACACCCCGTTATGACAACGTAAACCGTTTAGGGCCTCCTAAGAAAAGGAGCTGCGAAAGAAGAAACTACTATGAGAACAACTCTGGGAATACGGACCTACGGTCCTATTACTACCAGGGATAGAAAATGTTGTGAAAATTCACGTGAAACTTTGCGAAATTTTTTGGGGATGCATTCATTCAGGAGGCCAAGAAACACCTAGAGAGAGTGATTCCAAATTTTAAAATTTTTTACCCCAAGAAAAAAAAAAATCACACGTTGCAAATGTTTTCGTTTGGTTTAGAGGTTGAGTTGGGGCTCATCACTCTAAACTCCCCTCCGCCTTCCCCTTCGTAGAGCACCTCAGTAGGATAGGATAATACTGCCGCATCAACGAAAAGACCATTTGAAACGCTTCCAGATCTCCAAAGATTCAATTGGACGGAGTTAAACAGAAAGGAACCAAGCCACATCAGGATCGAACCGAGAAAAAGAGGTTTGAAGTTTGGCTCCTGCATAAGACTCAATGTAAAAGGTAAACTTCAAATTCGATCTCTGCAAAATTTGCTCCAACAAAAACTTTGAATTTTTGGCGATGGATAGTAGAGCAGTGGTTGAGTTCAAAACCACTCATAACTCAATTTTTTCCAAAATGTTGGTTGGTTCCTTTCTGCTTAACTCAGTCCAATCAATAATTTAGAAAAAAAAAAAAGAATACAGTTCAAATTTTGTGACACCTATTCGAGCCTTTGGAAATTCGATGAAATTTCACTTTCCATCTCCGCCATGGTGTCTAGTTTTCTTGGTAAAGCTCATTCCCTGATTTTTCCCTGAGTTTCTCTGATTTTCAGGAGCTCATTCCCTGATGAAAAACCGAGGTTTTCTCCCACTTTCCCGGGATTTTCTTGGGGAAAAGAATATTATTTTCCACAGTTTCAGGTATGAATATCGATTTTAATTAATCTTACAGCAATTTCTTCGGCGCACATTCAAAATTTTAATTCAAAAAATGTTCCTGGTGTTCCGCAATGATCCCTCGGTGGTTGAAGAAGAGATTCTCGGTTTCTGGAACCGATTCCCTGATTTTCCCGGTAAATTTTCATTCCCTGATGAATCCCGGTTTTCCCCGGTTTTTAAAAAACTAGACACCATGATGCCCACTACCATCATATTTGTTCCTGTTTCGTCTTCTTCTTTCTGCGTAACTTATTGGTTATAGCGCTGAATTTTGGGCGTTCCGTAAGCGGCGCGGCGGCTCCATGGACGATGGTTCGGGGGCGAAGATGGACCAGTAGTGGTCAGCCGGTAAGCCACCGCGGAGCTGGCTCGGGCGGCGGTGTCTGGACGCGACGGCGGCGCTTCATATGAGAGGCACGTTCCGAGCCGGCCAGCTGCTCTGCTAATAAATGTTTCATAACTCGCGACATTCGAGAGGGAAAGAACCGGCGGAAAAAAAGCAAAGAAAAAAAAACGCGGCCGAGAAAAACGCGAAATAACAAAGGGAGGGAGGGTGATCGACTGCCGAGGAACCCGTTCGCGTCTGGCGAGTGTCTGACCGGTGTCCGCGCTCCCGGCTCCCGTCTTCCCTGCCTCGTCGCTTTTCCCGCTTCCCGGTCATCGCGATTTCGGAGTCTCGCATCGTGGTCGGTCACGATTCTCACCATTTGGCAACAATGCGATTCGTACATTTCTGCCCTGATAGCCAAGAGAGCCGTAAGTGCAAGAAGTACAAAATACGGAAGGAAAAAAGTACATGATTTCGATACAATGGAGATGTTGCATGTGTGAGGAATTTGCGATTTGACTGTTGATTCGTACGTAAAAGTTCGCGAGAAATACGATGGTGCCACTGGTTTTATCTGAAATCAACTCTCGAGCTCAAGCTCTCAAGTTGAGGCCAAAATGGAGGGGATATCCCAAGCTATCCTGAGAGTCCACCTCTACACCAAAACAAACTCGCCAGCAAAGATAGGGAGCAATAGCCAAGAGAGCCGTAAGTGCAAGTTTTGAGAAAATGGGCAGAAAATATCACTTACGGCTGCTTCGCCTAACACTAGTCTAACATAGAAATTAATGAATTTAAATAGGTCGATTTTTAAGCATCCAAACGATTTCTAAGAGTCTTTCTGGTGATTAGGGGAAATTTGACAAATAACGGAGGCTTCTTGCACATGGCCGGATTCACCTACTTGCCGCCCATGGGCCGCCTGTATTTTGCCGCCCTCTTCTCATTCATTTTGAAACATCAATAAAAACCATTAAGTGGACGTGCCAGCGGGGGAGGGGTGCATAAGACGAGTTCCCTCGTGTTGCACACATTTTTTGCGTAAGCCCTGTCAACACTACTGGCAAAAGTTCACGGAACTTCCGGCGAAAGTTCAGTTCCGTAAACCTATCTCTGTGGGGACAAGGCCTTTCATTTGTCAGAAATGAACTAAAAAATTAAGAAAGAACAAACATCAATGCGGTTTAATAATTTTAACTTCCGCCGCCGGGCCGCGCTGACCACACTGTGTTTGGCGCAATGCGTGAAGTATTCATGTTGTCTTGTAGGCGCTGTGCGTTTCACGCCGCGCGCCGCGCCGACCGCTGTTGACCGTACTGTGTTTGACGTAATGCGTGAAGTATTCGTGCAGTCTCGTAGGCGCTAATATGTGTTACATGCCGACCGCCGCGTCGAGGGCTTCTCCTTTTCATCTCAAGCTCTCGTCATCATTTCTCTTTGCGCCGCGCCGCTCCAGGCCAAATTACGTGTTTGGTTTCTCTCTTAACTCAACTAATTAAAGGTGCGCAGTCTTTTGTATCACCGAAATACGACAAAATTAGAAATTTATGAACTCTCAGGAAATGAGAGATTTTGTCACCTTTTCTTGTTTGTAATTTTTTTCTGAATCCGATTTTTTGTACCTGAATTTTAAAAAATTTCAAAATTTGCCGCCCCCTAATTCTGCCGCCATGTGGCCACCCCCTTAATCCGGCCCTGTTCTTGCAATAAGATTTTTCGGTCAGACGCTTCTGAGCCAGTTTTCTCGAGAATTCATTTTCGCACTTACTGCTCTCTTCGCTGTCACAGCAGATTTCTGCGGTAAGTGCAAAAAAAGAGAGAAAAAAATCCGTCCAAACAGCAACTTTCTACGTTCAATATTAACCGAGATATCGAGCTTTGAAAAGTTCGGTTTATGACGTCATCCACCGCGGTGGTGATACATTCGGTTTTTTAAGAAAAGGCATTTTCATATTGAGAATTATCTTACCTTGACGAGGAGCGTGGTTGCAGGGAAAATTCCTACGGACGATAGAGTTGCCGAATGGTCATCCAGCCGCTCACCATTCAATTTGGAAAGCTGCTGGTCGAAAGGCATAACGCTGATCATCTGCATTATCTGAAAAAAGAAACGGAATTCGAAATTACCAGCAAGAAAGTGAAGAGAAATAATTTTGGAACATTATTGATTCAAGACCAGAGACAGATTGGACCGAATTAACCAGAAGGGAATCAACCCACTTTTGCGAAAAAATTGAGTCAGGAATGTTTTTGAGTTCCACTAATAGTATACTTCCACTGCCAAAAACTCAAAGTCGAAGAAGAAAATTAGTCTGTAGGGGTTAAAGTTTATTTTCTACATGGAGCCTCATGGAGAAATAAATCTTCAAACCTCTTTTTCTCAATTTCAACTTTACGTGGATTGATCTCATAAACTCAATCCGATTAAGAATGGCGGATCAAGCAAGAGGCACCAAGCTTGTGGGCACCGGTAACTGCGGTAAAAAGATAACGTCGAGAAAATTCGAATTAAGTTAAAGGGAAAAGTTAATCTAAAAGCGGGAGAAGAAGAAATTCTAGATTTCTGAACTACATTCCCCGAATTTTCCTCGAATTTTTCATTCCCTGATCATTCCAGATTTTCCCTGTTTTTCCCCGTCCGGACGCCACATTTTAGTAGAACTCATGACTGCCACAATATTTTTAAAAACTGCACTTATGTGCGCCTTGTCCTCAAAGCCCCTCGTTTCTGGAATTATTGCTCTTTTTGGATCGATCGCAAAAAACAACGAAAGCTACAGGGTGTCTAGTTTTTTCTCATTTTGGGAAATCCTGATTTTTGACTGCTAAATCCTGATTTCATAATTTTTCCAAATCCTGATTTTTTCTCGGATCGAATGTAACTTCACAAAAAAGTAGCTCGATGAAAAAAATCCGATCAGACGGCCGGCTTTCCTCAAATCCTGATTTAACGACCGACTTTTCCTCAAATCCTGATGAAATCGGAATGAAATCCTGATTGACCTCAAATCCGGGTAGAATCGGGAAAATCCTGATGTAAACACCCTGCGAATCAATCACGACACTTTCCGAAAACCCGGTTAATCCAGTCCTGTAGACACCGTGCTAAAACCGAAGCCGAGCGTCCCGTTGATCCCGAGCAGGAGTCGCTCGACAAGGAAACAATTAATAACGGCTAATTATTAAACCCTCGAGCGCGCCGGCGCCCCCCTCCCCTTCGACACGTCTCAATCCGGGAGGAAGATGAATAGAGATAAGGAAAGCTCCCGGATTCGCCGATAAGACGCGGAGGGGGGGGGGGAGAGTAACAATGCGGAAGGTGCGGCCAAGATTTTTCACCCTCACACGTCCGTTCCGCCCGGAACCTTGCGCTGACCCTTACTGCCGTGCTAAGGAAGAACGCCGTACGGACATTCGAGAGTTGCCAAATTTCCTTCGGTAAAATGTTTTTTTAAAAGTAAATTTATAAATATTTTTCTTTTAAATTTGCAGAATCTTTAGGTAAAATTTTGGACTAAATTATCTGAAAAATTGGGAGGAAAATATTCATAAGTTTACCAGGGGATTCGCGTTTTATCAAAGGAAATTTGGCAACGCCTGAAGGTTCATACGGCGATCTTCCTTAGCACGGCAGCTTAGCCCCCGACCCTCCCGGAGTAATTCAAACAATGTAACAGATTAGTCCGGCCGGACCCGGGGGCCGTTAATCACATTTTGTCCGAAACACTCCGGACCAGTGTTATGATTAAGTGTTCCCGGCGACCGACGCGCCCGGCGACAAAAAGCGCCTGCTATCGCCGGCCCGGGCCTCCACACGTACAAATTATACATTCATATGTCAAAACTTATTCGGATTCGACCGGGCCCGGGTCCGCGGAGGGGGGGGGGGCTTCAAGATGCCCGCGGTTTTTTGCCCGGTGTCGCGCCCGGAACTTTCTCCGGGGGGTGGTAATTAATGGAGTCGGGTGATGGGGGGAGGGAGATGGAAGGGGGGGGAGTGCACCGCCGCGAATTCGTTTCGTTACTTCATTAGGCGTGGCTCGATTTGGCTCGGCACTGATTCGTGGATTGCGACGACGGGTGTTTGATCCGCCTTATTGGCTAGTTCGGAGGGAGGAAGGAATTCGACTTCGGAGCGGATACCTCTTCGCACAGCTTGTGTTGAATTTTGAAAAGGAGTAGAGTGCTTATACTGAATTAAATTATCAAAATTTGATCGAAATGATCAAAATGTGAAATGGTCAAAATGTGATCAAAATGATCAAATCGTGTTTTCCCTGACAATTTCAGTTTTTTCTAAAAATGCAGAAGTTCACGAAAGGCGTGTTTTTTGGGCAAAACTGGAATATCAAGCGAAAAATACAGGGGACAATGAGGTTTTTTTAAACTTGCAACCCAGAATACGCGATATATCTTGGTTAATTTGCTAACATTAGTTTCCTTCACTAAATATCAAGGAAAAACTGTGAGGCAGTGCCTAACCATATCAGGATTTATTACTTTTTTAGCAGAGTAGGGAAATCACAAACGATGTCCAGGATTGCCAAAATTTCTTCATCTTCAAATTCCCTGATTATTTTTGCTTTTCCTGGACTACAAAATTTTCGAATTCCCCGACTTCCCCTGACATACTTCTACTTTGATTTTTATCCTTTCAATTACACTCACTTCTGCTAAACCTTAAACGCATTAAATTCCCTAACTTTTCCCGATCGACGCAAATTCCCTGGCTACCCCGTTTTTTCAACCGCCGGCAACCCTAAAAATCACAGGAATATTGAAATATTCCTCAAATCTAAACTTTGAATAGGCTACCGGCTACCTACACTTTCCATTCGCAAGCTCCGGTTTCGACCGAGCTGAATTCAAACTTGGTCCCGTACCAAAATTCCAAGATTTCGCGACGCCACCGCTGGAGGGGGGGGGAGGAGTGAAAAAATAACAAAAAACCACCCCTGCAAAAAACCCCCGGCGGAAAGTTCCCCGACGCCCCGTCACCGGACGGAAAGAAGTCGCGAAGTCGCGAGCGCAATCAAAAACCGATGAGGATAAATCAATTATTTCGGAAACAATTTAGGGAACAGGAGGAAGACGCTCCTCCCGCCGTCGGGGCGGGGGGGGGGGGGGAGGGGGTGCAAGGGTGACGTCACGGCGGCGGCTATGATAAATGAAGGCCGAGATCCTCGAGAGACGATCGATTATCGGGAGGGCGATTTGTCATCTCGTTAATACACCGTCGTCGCGGATCCGGGAATCCGGTGGGACTTTTTTCCGATGGCGTGGAAAGCTTTGCGATAAATCGATTGAGGTGCCAATAGGACCAACGAAAAATGATCGAAAAGCAGGGTATTCGCGACGAATACTTTGATAGTCGATTCTTTACCACATATTTAAATGGAGAGATATCGATAATCGATCATTCACGCCCCGCCACTACTTTTTCCTGGCGCGGCGCGGCGTTCGCGTCGCGGTTTTTCAGCCGGAGCCCTGCTTTTGACTCCGCTGCCGCATTGTTTTGCACAGTTTCGGTCAATGACGTGAACGATCGATTATCGATATTTCCCCATTGGAGCTGGGGTAAAGAATCGATATTATAGAAGTGTTCATTGCGAACACCCTGTTCATTGATCCTGTTCCATAGGTTTGAATAGTAGACCAATGGATATATCGCAAAGCACGCCACGGCACTGGTTTCGATGTCGGCCGATAAGTCTAAAATTCTTGATTTTATTCATACCCTGTCCTTTCTCTGATTATGTTCCTAATTTCCACGGAAAAATTCCCTGGGGAAAACCCGAAATTTTCTCTTTCTTCCTCTGGATTCTTTTCGAAAAAATAGGATTTCCATTTCGAATTCACCGGAGATATTGGACTACATCTTGCAATTAGGAAGTAAAATTCCTGCCTCGCCTATAAAAATACTTATATAAATAGGGAAAGTAATGGGTCATATGTTGCTTCTAAACTGAGCCAGCATTTCTGATTGAAAAATGTTGAAACTTGTTCATATTTCGTCTACTTCTTTCAAGTTAAGCATTACTGGTTATTTTACCGATTTCCACGAATAAAATCCTGGATGGAATCCCCGGGTGAAGGAAATTATTCGCAGATTTCCCTGAAAATTCATATTCCATTGGAGGAAAGGCAACATCTGAAGGCTCATACGGTGTTTTTCCTTAACACGGTAGAATTGAACCAAGACGTAGCCACGAAATCTGTCTATTGTCTCAAATAGAAACCCGATTAGGTGACCATTAAGAGAGCGCTCCCATGGGTACTCTGGGAAATTTTTCTCCGTGATTGGCACTCATATTCATACTTCACAAAACATGCCCGGGAGCCCTTTCACTCAGAACAACATAAGCCGAATCAATCACAATTCCGGCTGAAGGACGCGCCAAGGGTTAAGGATTACTAGGGGCCCTGTCGCCCCTCCCGTAAGGGTGGATGACGGGCTCGAGTGGCCCGGCGGAGGGGCGCCACGCCGCCGCCGGTGGAAACAAATGAGAGATAACGTAACAAATGAAACGACAAAGACAAACCAAGACACGGGGTGGAAGGTGGGGCTGCGGGGGTGGAGCGCGGCCGACAGCCCCAGACGATCGTCTTGGTTAAATAGGATAATTAGGTTTTGTCCAGTTCAGTCACTCATTAGTATAGAGTGACCGTTCCGTTCCGTGTTGCCGCACGACCCACGAAAAGAGGGAATAACGCGAAAAGCGGCGGATTTGCCTTCAAAATTATGAGTATGCAATCCCCTGACGGTTGCGTTTGAATAGTCTGTTGTCGCTCAAATCAGAGACAAATATATTATGAGAGACTTTTTAATTTTGGATTTTCCTAATATTTAAGATGAGACTTCCCGATTTTTTGCGCGAATAAATTGAGGGGCTTGGAGGACAAGGCGCATAAGTGCACTTTTTGAAAAAATTGAGATATTCATTATTTCAAGTAAAACTAGTCTTAATGCGCATACTATGCGCCCTGTCCTCCAAGCTCCTCAATTGACACTCGTTGTATTGATGAATTGATGTCCAAACTTTATGTTGTGTGATTTGTTTTCCTCGTGCAATTTTGAAGAGAGAACATGCTACGTACTTCTTTAATTTATACTACGTCAAAAGGCCCATTCTCTGACTTTCTCGAGTTTTCAATAACTTGTCGAAAACCTCAGGGTGTTTACTAAATTTTAATTTTGAATTTTCCTGATACTCTCCTGATTAATTATGATGCTTATGACAAACTTTTCTGATTTTTCGTACGAAAAAATTGACACTCATTTCGTTTGAAGATCACCATATTTAACGAATCGAATGTAATGTTGGAAAAGTTCTTGGAGTACTCGGAATTTTCTGATCCAAAACCAATTTCCCTGATTTTCTCCTGGCAAAATCGAATTTCCTGATATTTTCCGGTTCTAACAGATGGCATAATTTTAGAAAGAGAAACATACATGTAAATCAGTGGCATGGTATGCTTTGCGATATATCGATTGATGTGCCATTTAAATCTAAGAAAAAGAATCGATAAACAGATGTTCGCGACGAACACATTGATAATCGATTTTTCACCACACCCTCAAATGGAGAGATATCGATAATAGATCATTCACACTTTGCCACTGATGAAAATACCGTCTCCAAACGGATACTAAAGAGACAACAGCGAGGGTTTTCGGGCGTCGCGCCTCGCTGCCGAGAGTTAGGCAACCGGGCGCGTCGACGATTTTCACTTGACCCTTCGCCCGGTGCTCATCCCTCTTCATCCCGCGGGACTAATCGTGTGTACAAACCGAGGCTGGGCGGCTGGNGGGGGGGGGGGGGCGACCGCGGTCACTTCCCCTTTGACATTAAGATATCATGCTAATATCCCGTGTTTAGTCATCTTAATCGCTCCTTGTCCTCCGCTCGTCAGACTCGCCGTCCCTCCCGCAGGGATTTTTCTCGCCGGAGGTGTCCTGTCGCGCTCCGCTTCCGGGAAAAAGTCACCGGCGTGTCCGAGTTCTTCCAGGGCCCTTCGCCGGGATCCCGGTGAGATAAAACGGGTCGACTTGACGCGAGACGAAACCCTGGTTTGAAAGTAATTCATTTATTAGAATTATAAAGATACTAACTTTCTCATGGGAAATAATCTGACCGAAGATAGTAGAATTTTAGAATTGTATACATTTTGGATACATAAACGAAGTAACAAACTTGCCTTGGGAAAGAGAAAGGGGATTTCCAGTTTTCGACAGCGACTTTTGTAGGAAATCCGTGATTTTCTCGGGTAAATTTTGATTTTTCCATGTCCTGCGTTATGCACCCATCAAACAGTCCTTTTACCATCGCATTTGCGAAAAGTTCAGTTTCATCATAATTTTTCCGATCACGGATAGAAAAGACGGATATGGTACAATCAATATGAACTCTGAAAAGCGGTAAGGCGTATTTTCCAGGGTCGGATGGCGCAATAGCCATTCTTGAAAGTTAGCAATACTGTATGTACTCCATTTAAATGTTTGTAAAACAATCGATTCTTGGTGAGGCCTAAAATCAGGATGTCATCTAAAACAGGCTGGTCAAAAATAAGTACTTTTACAGTACTTTTTCAATACATTCTCAAGCAATTCAGTACCTCCTCCGACGGAAAAATCCCGTACTTTTTCAGTACCTCCATTTGATGAAATTAAAAAAATTTCAAAAATTTAAAATATCGACAAAAATAACAAAAAATTAAAACAATTTCGGACCTTAATGCGGAATTTCCGCACTACTTCAGTACTTCCGGACAGCCCCTAAAAAATCAGTACTATTTCCGGACTTGTAGATACCCTGAAAATCGATATTTTCAATAAATTTAAATGGAGGAAAAACAACATTGCCAACTTGCAAAATCGCCACTGGCTGGCAAAATTTCCACGTTGGGAACACTCGGATCCGGCGACCGGAATCCACGTTTCTCGCAGGAATCGCAGGAATCCCGGATCGAACGGCGGCCGGGTTGCCAGAATGTGCGATAGAACGCGGATAATTTACATGGGTTTGAATAGGGGAAAGTGCTGATTTTTCGCTAGATCTGGCAACAGTGGGTTTCGACGCGGGCAATAAAACCCACGGGTTAAAAACCGATCGGGTTAATTCTGAAACGATTAAAGATAATAGCTGCTTATGATCGGATCGGCCGCGCGGATTCGATCGTCGAGAGCTTTTCCAGCGCGGCCGTCGATGAACATTCTTCCGACGCGCTCTGGATCATCGAAATAACCTCCGCGCTTGTCTTAAGCCGATTCTCTTGATCGGTTACCAGAACCGTCTTGCTCGATTTCTATTGGTTCGACGGAACTGCTTAGAGGTGCACTGGAAAAAAACACATTGGATCTAGAGTCCAGACTCTTAAAAACATCGACAAGAAAAAGTACTCTTGATTCAATTAGAATCTAGCTTAAATCAAGAACCAAGCCTCTTAATTTAAGCGGATTGCGTTTTGATTCAAGCAAAAATCAGATTGAATCAAGAGTATTTTTTCTTGTCAGTGTTTTCAAGAGTCTGGACTCTAGATCCAATGTGTTTTTTTTTCCAGTATGAAAGAGAGATTTTCTCAGATTTTAAAATTGCTAAAGTCGATAGACCCTGTTCAGCCCGATAGGAATTATGAGTGTAAAAATCTTTGCTAAACGGAGACGAGGGCTGTCGGCTAGCCGAAAAATTCACTTCCGAACTCTTGCCCTTTCACGCGTTTGGTTTTAGCTTCACTGGAGATGATAATTGGACGTATTTTTGCCAAACGGAACTAAGCGTCAATTTGAATTCCTTTTCAGGAATTTAGAATGCCGGATAGCGCGTTCTGTCAAACGGAACTAAGCGTCATGGAAAAGCATTGCGAGTATAGGACGGAATGAGCCCGAAGCCCGGTTCAGCCGCCGATCCAAGCCCCCCTCTACCTTCCTCCCCCTATGGCGCTTAGTTCCGTTTGACAGAAATGCGTCCAATTGATTTACTGTTCTGTAAATGTCGTGTAGGAGCGTCCTTACATGCTAAATGATGCGGAAGAAACGGAAAGCGAAGAAGAAATAGATTAAGACGATGCCTCAATTCCTTTCGGTTCCACTGATACAACTATTTTAACGTTCCGGTAATGTGGTATGGTATCATCTCCAGATGAAGGCGTTTGATAGCTCTACAGAGAAATCCATTTCTGAACTCTCGCACTTACGCGCGTTTCGTTCAGTTTCGGCTTGAATAACGGGAAAGGTGGAGGTGATCCCTGTTTTATCGTTCTAACAATGTATGGTAGTAGCGCCCTTAGATGAAGAATGAAGAAGAAAAAGAAAGCGAAGAAGAGACAAATAAACACAAGGCTTAATTGCTTTCGGTCCCGCTAGGTGGGATACAACTATTTGAACTTCCCGGTAATGTGGTATGGTATCATCTCCAGATGAAGGCGTTTGATATTTTTACAGAGAAATCCACTTCCGAACTCTCGCACTTGCTCGTGTTTAGTTTTAGCTTGAAAAACAAGGATGGCGAAGTTGATGATTATATTGATGATAATGAGGAAGGTTATACATGAGAAGAAAAAAAGGAGGTAGAAAAATAAGCGAAATAGAGAAATGGAGAAGAGAGAAAGAAAAACAGGAGGAAGGAAAACGATGAGTGATAAAAGAAATCGAAGAATATGGAAAAATACGAGAGTAAAAAAGGATAGGAAAAATTGGGAAAAAGGCGAAGAGGCTGAGGAAGGAAAAAGAAGAGGGGAAGAAGGGTGAAATAAAAGGAAAAGGGGAAAAGACGAGGATAAGACGAAAAAGGAAGAGGAGGAAAGAGGAAGAGGATGAAGGGAAAGGAGGAAAAGAAGGAAAGGAGGGAAAAGAAGTGATAAAAGAGAACGCGAAGAAGATGAAAAAGGATGAGAAAAAGAAGAGGAGAGAAGGGGGTAAATATGAGGATAAGATGAAAAAGAAGAAGTGGAATAGGAGGAAAAAGAAGAAGTGGACGAAGAAGAGGAAAAAAAGAAGTGGAAAAAGAGGAGGAAAAATAAATGGAAGAAGATGGAAAAGAAGAAGTGGAGTAAGAAGAGGAAAAAAAGAAGTGGAAGAGGAAGAGGAAAAAAAGAGGAGGAAGAATACGGAGACGGAAAAAAGGAGGACTATTGGTGGTTTACGAATGTCCGTTTTGAGCTTACCTTAAGTTTAACGTCCCTGACAGTGTCGTCGGAGGAGACGACGATTTCCTTCTCGCCCCTGCCGCGACGGGGTCGGCTGCTCCGGCGCACCTCCAGCGTCTCCGCCGACGAGCTGCACCCGTTCGTCGCCCCCGCACCCGGAGGCACGTACAGACCCGAGTCGTTGTTCACCTTCGCTTTCTTCGGCACCGAGCTCTGAAAAAGAACAAACCATTAAATTGACAACTTGCTAGTAGTGAAAACACAAATCTGAACAACTAAGAAAACTTATAATCATGGAATTTCAGCACTTTTTCAGTACTTCCGAACCACCCTTAAAAACCAGTACCAGGGTGTCTAGTATTTTTTAATCTTGAAAAATACTGATATTTTCCTGATTTTTCCTGATATTTTATAAGAAATTCCTGATTTTGATTTTTTTTGAAAATTCCTGATATTTTCCTGATTTTTCTTTGAGAAATAATCGGAAACAAAGACGGCGCGACGACTCCTGGCACGGTAGGCAAAAAGCAATAAGACCTCTCCGCTGAGGAGATTCGCGTAGGAAAAATTCCTGATAAAACGTCCGATTTTTCCTAATACTTTCCTGATTTTTTCCTGGTTGTCCAAAATTCCTGATTTTTTCCTGATCGGCCAAAATTCCAGATATTTTCCGGTTTTTTCTGATGCTAGACACCCTGATACTATTTCCGGACTTTCCAGAAATTCCGGACTAGTGGACACCCTGACCATCCAAAATTTCCGCTGAGGTTACGAAGCTCCAACTTCACAGTGCGCCGCGTGGCGCGTATGCTCGCACGGGCTGGCGCGCGACTCGGCGCGGCGCACAAAGGGATCGTGCCAATGGGAGAGGTCCGACAAAATTTGGAAACTTCAAACGCTTTGAAGATCGTTTATACAAGACTTTGAGGTTCTAAAGGTGGTTGCATTAGAATTTTTGTGAAATTTTCTTCTCAAAGCACTCTTTAAAATTTAAAATGTGACGACAAAATTCGCAATTTCAGTTGAAAATTTCATGTCCGACCTCTCTGATTGACTCGATCCACTGTGCGGCGTCGGGTCCGTCCGCGGAGGCAAACGCTATGAAAGGTGATAATTTCGGGACGATATATTGACGATGCCAGAATCGGACGCCGGACCCATCCGCGGAGATCTAGTCGTAGATACGGCCGCGCTAGGTCATCGATATTAAAACACTCAATCGATACATCGATTCTCGACCAGTGGGGAGGCGTGAATGATCGATTATCGATATTTCTCCATTTGGAGCTGTATTAAGCAATCGATTGTTGAGGTGTTCGTTGCCAACATCCTGTCTATCGATCCTTTTCCATTGGTTCAAATGACAGATCAATCGATGGCACTGGCACTGTTCTCGACGTTTGAACCGGGACGCGAGAAAGAAAGATCGATGGATCGAATCTCGAGGTTTGGAGCGGGGCGCGTTGAGAGAGGATCGATGGGCTACGTATCGAACGTAACTAGGCAATAATTGCGGAGTAAAGGCACCATCCGGCCGTAACACGCGCGTTGGTTGCTTTGCAAAGTTGCCGCGCGTGGCAGATAAACCGAAAATGTTATTCGGAATGATTACTATCAGTCGCATCGGGTGCAATCAGAGATATCCATGGAACATTGGAAAACGATACTTTTGACTTTGTTATAACTGAAAAAAATATCGTTTGAATTAGACATTTGGTCAAGACTTTTCGATCTGGTCCGAACTGGTGAAACACGAAGTAATTGAGGTGCTTCGAGGACAAAGAACATAAGTGCAGATTTCGAGAAATACGTGTTTGAAGTTTCGAAATGACATGGATCCTAATGGCGGAAAGAAAGCTCAAACACATTTTCTGATGCTTCAAAATTGAAATTTGGAAACGAATTTTTCACAGAATATGCATTAAGACTAGCTTTGCTTGAGACCATCCATATCTCAATTTTATCGAAAACTGCACTTATGCGCCTTGTCCTTCTAGCCCCTTAATTCTTCTTTTCCGCCAAAATTTCAATTTTTGCGTAGTGATCCCTCTGAAGCGGTTGATGCTCGTACATCTATCGCACCCGAAATGTATTGCAGTAAAATTAGAATTAAATTTGTTCTGTACAGCTTTCTTCATTTTATCCTTCGGAATTCGACGAGAACAACACTTCAAATAAGGTGACTAACGGTTCATTGGATATCATTATTTAAGTGCGATGGATTATACAACTTGCTAAATGGACGCTAGTGCACTGATAGTTTTTCTTCTTTTCAACTCGGACTAGACACAATTACTTCCAATTTATATCGAGCTTTCGACACCGTGATCGTTGCTCGTCACTTAGCAGGCTACCCCACTAAAGCTGTCGAATCCGGATAATGCTCAAGCTACCAAGAACCAAGATGTACACTGCCTTTTTATGAAGGTAGCCATTCGAAAAATTAAGACGTTGAAAAGCGAAGATAACATCTCAAAACTTGCGCTGCAGCGCCAATCAGCGAAAACAATGAAGCATTCCGATAAACCACGTTAAACGCTCTATAACATCTACATTCTTCGAGAAAGCTTCCACTGTTGTCGATTCAGGCGGTTTCGCCTTCTTTTCCTCAACTGCAGTCTGAGAGGCATTCCTCGAGCAAAAACTACCTCCGACCACAACTGAGCTGGATAATTAATTCAACAACAAATTTGGGAGGATCAGGGCCGGATTCACTCACTTGCCGCCCATGGGCCGTCTGTATTTTGCCGCCCCCTTCTCATTCGTTTTGAAACATCAGTAAAAAACCACCATGTGAACGTGCCGGTGAGGGACGGGTGCATAAGACGCGTTTACTTGTGTTGGACACATTTTTTGCGAAAGCCCTGTCAACACTACTAGCAAAAGTTCACGGAACCTGGCGCGAAAGTTAAGTTTCGTAAACCTGTCTCTGTGTGGACAAGGCCTTCCATTTATATGAAATGAACGAAAAAATGATGACAGAACAAACATAAATGCGGTTTAGTAATTTTAACTTCCGCTGCTGCGCCGCGCTGACCGCACTGTATTTGGCGCAATGCGTGAAGTATTCATGCCGTCTTGTAGGCGCTAATATGAGTTACATGTCGACCGCCGCGCCGCGCCGAGGGTTTCTCCTTTTCATCTCAAGTTCTCGTCCGCATTGCTCTCTGCGCCGCGCCGTTCCCGGCCAAATTCCGTGTTCGGTTTCTCTCTTAATCTTGACTCGATTGATTAAAGGTGCTGTCTACTGTATCACAGAAAGACGACAAAATTAAGAAGACCGGGTGCGGAGTTCAAAAATGAGCCACATGCAGGGTCTGACGTAGCAAGAAAAGTCAAACATCAAAATCTAATGTAAAAAACGATTCTTACGGTGCACAGTGGATCTAGTCAATTAGAGCGGTCCGACATGAAATTTTGGACTAAAACTGCGGATTTTGATATTTAGTTCGTCACATTGTACATTTCAAGAAGTGCTTTTAGAAGAGAATTTCACGAGCAAATCGATGAACCCAGTTTTAAAACCTCAAAATTTTGTATAAACGAAGTTATTAGCTTTTAAAGTTTCCAAATTTTGTCCGACCTCTTCTACTGACTCGATCCAATGTGCGACGGAAAGCTCGGAAATCAACTCCTGAACGAGATACTCGCACGTACTTTTATCAAAGATCAAACTCAAGTTGATGATACAAATGACGTCATTTGTACTTTTGCCATTTGACCAATATGTCAACCGTATGGTTTTTGGGAAACGATTTTCAGACTTCCCGTTGCAACGTTCGTTTTCCTCGTGAAATTTTAAAGAGAAAATCTGTTGTGTCGTGCTTCAATTCATACCTAGAGGTCAATTTTGCGCTGGCAACGACGGAGAAACATAGTAAGCGAGTTATTAAGTGATCGAGAAAAATCAAGACAAATGAAATCCTCGGTAAATAATGGAAAGAGCCTCGTTGAAAACAAACGCAGCTCGGCCCAAAGACCTGCTGGGAGAAATGGTGTTCGATAATGGAAAAGATTCGCTCAATAATTGCGGCGGATATGGGCTCCTTCGCCAAGGATCGGGCGAAATTCTGAGCCTCCTAATGGCAGGTTCTACACCGAGCCCACCTGTTTGAAAGTTAGTTGAGTTAACTGTTCCCGGGTGAAGGCTGACATGATTACTGTTATCGACGAGAGCCGTAAAACGCGGTCTTCCCTCGTCTCGGCTCCAGAATTTCGCGCCAGTGACCCTTTCGAAACGCAACAACCTCGTTTTAGATGTCCTTGCGTAGATTTTGTAAATGTCCGCATGAACAGTACGTGAAATGGTGGCATTTTCGATCAAAATATAGCATTAGAGCCAATGACTCTCTCAAAACGCACCAAGCTCGTTTAAGATGTTCTTGCGTGGATTTTGTAAATTTTCGCATGAAGAGTACGTGAAATGACGGCATTTTCGATTAAAGTATAGCATTAGAGCCAATGGCCCTTTCAAAACGCACCAAGCTCGTTTAAGATGTTCTTGCGCGGATTTTGCAAATTTCCGCATGATCAATGCGTGAAATAAGAGCATTTTCGATCAAAGTATAGCATGGGAGTAAATGACCTTTTTGAAACGCACCAAGCTCGTTTTAGATGTCCTTGCGTGGATTTTGTAAAATTCCACATGATCATAATACGTGAAATGACAGAATTTTCGATCAAAGTATAGCATTGGGGGAGGGGGGAGGCAAAATTTAGAATTGGATGTCTCTGATTTCTACTAATTTTTGAAATATAATAATTTCCGATTCGGCCAAAGGAATAAGCTAGAATCACGTAACCACGGGAGAATTCGCAACATTCGTGAGAGCCATTTTTCCTTAGGTACTGCAATGCTGCCGTGCTAAGGAAGAACACCGTATGAACATTCGAGAGTTGCCAAAATTTCCTCGATAAAATGTTTATTTTTGAAGAAAGTTGTGAATATTTTTCCTTCAACTTTTCAGGAACTTCAGGTGAAATTATGAACAAAATTATCTGAAAAATTGGAGCGAAATTTTCACAAGTTTCTCAGAAAATTAGCGTTTTATCAAAGGAAATTTAGCAACGCATGAAGGTTCATAAGGCGTTCTTCCTTAGCACGGCAGAATGTAACAAACGCAATTTCCGGGGAAACTGTGTGTGTCCTTTGTGCCGAATGCTTGTTTGCGGTTTCGTGGCGCCTCGTGGCCGGCTTTGTGAGATTTTCTTCCCAAGCACAGTAGTAATAAGTTTATCGCTGCCGGAACGACCGCGGAGATAAGACGCGCATAAATCGGAGTAATGTGTGACACATAGCGCCAGGTGCGCATAAACAACCCGGCGGCGACTATTGTGCAGCGGGAGACGCCCGGCGAAAGCTCCGATTGTTAGCGCTCGTTCCCTGTCCCGCCACGGAATTAAGTATCAAACTTGACAAAGCGCCCGCGTCAAGTATTGTTTACGCCGCGATGAATACGCCGAGGGTTGAGCTTATAATTGCGCCTCTATCGAAATTTAAGGAGCCGCGAGACGCTCAATTGGACGCGGAGTAATCCATCTCCTCGACTGTCCTATTCTGGATGCTCGATTTGGATAATCCTACGCAATCGAGAGGAGATTTATCAAAATTTAAAACGGCACTTGCGGCAAGATAGTCTCGTAGGTCAGGGTTTAGATATTCAGAGCATTCGTAAACCGGCCAATTCTCTCGCCACATTATCGGGCATAAGCGGATCCAGACACTTCGAACGACGGGGTGGGGGCGGAAGGGGGGTCCAAAGGGCTCCCCCGAAAATTGTTGAAATATTGGACCATCTAATTCGCAGTTTGAGTCAATTTCGTCAGGTGCAATCACCAAATATAAAATTTGTTCCTCGATAAAACCTGTTAACTTCTGGCGTTTGAAATCCTAAATACCATACCCACATTGCCTTGCTAGGGAAAAACGTCGTATGAACATTCGAGAGCAGTCAAATTTCCACCAGAAAATATTTAAGATGACAAGGATAGTTAGGATTATTTCCTCTTGACATTTTCAGTTGAATTAGATTTGGTCGTGAATAGCATTCTCTGAAAAATTGAAGGAAAAATATTCATAAATTTTCCTGGAATTTCGGAATTTATCCAAGGAAATTTGGAATCATTTGAAGGCTCATTAGGCATACTCTTCGACACGGCAGTATAGCCTTTGCTCCATTTCCCTCACTGCCCATCTCTCCTAAATGCGCGGTATTGCAACTCCGCCTCGGACCCTGCGTTTCCGCGCATTACCCGCCCGTAATAACTTAATACAGGCTCGAGCCCGAACGGAGCCTCATTGACAAATTGATAATCCGGTCGGCCGAATGAAAAGCGCGCAACTTTCATTGAAGAATGACGGAGATCCGCTGTTTTGCTTTTGCCTCGGCCCGGCGATAATTAGGTGGTGTTCGCGAACGAGGCGTGCTGCCGCTCGACAAACTACAGGAGCGGGCAGTAACTGCTCGCGTGCAATTACTCGTTATGGATGGGGCCCCATTCACAACACCGCCAATCCCCCACCCCTACAGCCCTGAAAATCGGAGCCGTTTGAACCTATCGGAAGCGGCGAGTAGCGTTCCAATGAGGTAAAAGGATAACATTGCACTTAAACTGGTCGTCTTCCTCGCAAAAGAGCGTAACTGGTTACGCTCTTTTGCGAACCCCTGCCCCCCCCCTTCCCAACCAATTCAAACAGAAGTGTTTTTACTCGAAAATTTTCGAGTGCATCCCTCATCTACAACCGCTTCAATTGGCTGACATTTTATAGAACTTAATATTTACATGGATACCAGAGGCGGGGCGTGAAAGACCGAGTATACATATTACCCCATTTGAAGCTGTGGTAATTAATCGTTAATTAGGTTTTCGCTACGAACACCTTGTTTATCGATCCTTTTCCATAGGATTAAATGGCAGATCAATTGATATATCGCAAAACACGCCACGCCACTGATGGATACGGCCGCCATCCTGGGAGCGTCGATTTTATAGGTGGTAAAATATGAAATCGATGTAAATAGTAACTGGTAAATGGTATAATAGTATAAATAGTATAAGTAGTAATAGTAAACAGATGTAAATGGTAAATCGATGATAAAGGAGTGCCGTGATTTTCCCGGCATGCAAACAGGAGAATACAATATTCGGTAGCAACAACGATTGATAGTTGCCCGGAAATCTACGCTGGTTACAACCCCAAGATAAGGAGAAACTGGCGTACATTTTCATCACTCTGACGAAGTGGCGAATCTTGACAGTTGGCAGCACTGCTTTTTCTCCGTCTAAATGCATGTAAAACGATCGATTCTTAGCGAGATCCTCACCTAGAATCGAAATTTTTAATGGATTTCAATGAAGGAACAACACTGCTCCGACGGGAAGTAGTGCTTTTCTTCAAATTAGCAACAACGCTATTTTCTTTAGCATCGTTTCGCAGTCATAAAGTGAGGCCACTTATTGCTGTCTTCGACTTAGGATTGTTGGGCAGCGATGCTGGATGCTGGGAGATGAACTTAGACGATTGGGCTAATTGGTACCTTCGCGGTGCACTTGGAGGGAGGAAGGGGGGGGGGCGTAACGTCCTTCGTCAAAAGCACGAAGCCATTGTTTCAATATTGTGTATTTATAGACTAATTCCACTTACGATTCGATTGATAACTTACTAGGAATGAACAAAATCTGAAAATGCAATCATTCGTTATTCTTACGGAAATTATGGAACTGGGTTGCGATTTGTAATATATTTAACGCACTTGGTGGCAAGAGGAAGTCGGATCTGCGTAACGGTTACGGAGAGGAGAGGAAGAAGCTGAAGTTAACATTACGTAACTTCAAAAAAACAATTTATCGTTGGAATAAATAGTTTTTGGGCCACATTCCTCTGAAACGCGGATAAAAGATAGTCCTGCAATACGATATATGGACCGCGATTATATGGAAGGCGCACATTCAAGTTTTTTATTCCAAAAGCGTTCCTGATGTTTACATTATCTGGTCAATGAAAGCTTCTGTATTATTATAATGATTTGAAGACTCAAAAATCTCATTAAAGAGGTCAATAATGGCGGCTAAGGTGCAATAACATAAACCTGAATAACAATAGGTACTTAAAATATCCGCAAATTTTGAAAACGCAATTGCTCCAAGCGGTGGAAGAAAAGATTCCCGTTTCGGAAATAGATTTTTCCTGAACTGTTTCATTTCCTAATATATCTCCGTTTTTCCTAGTCGTTCCCGGTCCTAGTCACAATGTTCAATAGACTTTAGAAGACGGATATGAAATTTATCAGAAAAATACCTAAAAGAGGACAAATAGAAAGAACCTTACCGAATCATCGGAGCCCGGATCGCTGTTGTCTTGAACGAAGCGGATGAAAATTTTAGCGTTTCTGTAAGTTAGTTGTTCTTTGTGTTCTTTCTCCAGCCTTGCAACGTAACACGTTTGACAGATATCTGAAACAAAACAACAAATATAACATGAAAATTGGGGCTCGTATACTTTCTTCCACAAAAACGAGATGGTGAATCTATAAAATTAAACTTTAAGTTCTTAGGAAAAACGTTAAAATAAGAGGGCATTGAAGAAGAAATTTTACATCAAGCAAACCCCTGGTTTTTAAAAAAATTCGGCTCATTTCTGCTCAATCCGATCCATTTGATAAAGCCTGGGACGATAATCCTCGGAACAACAATGAGAGAGGAACAAGAGACATCAATTAGGAGTTACTATATGTATTTATGGCTAATTTCGTCGAACTCTAACGAAATAACGTAAATACATACAGAAGAGTCTTTCGACACTTCTAACTAAAAATTTCACTGATCTTTCTTCAGATCTCATTCAAGGGAAGAGCGGGAATATCCCTAGGGAAGAGCGTCGTATAAACATTCGAGAGTTGCCAAATTTCCTTTGATAAAATGTGTATTTTTTTGTTGAAAAGATATGAATATTTTTCCTTGAAATTTTCAGGAACTTTAGGTGAAATTGCGAAAAGAATCATCTAAAGAATTGGAACGAAAATATTCATAAGTTTACCGAGAATTTCGTGCACTGGAAAAAAAAAACACATTGGATCTAGAGTCCAGACTCTCAAAAACATTGACAAGAAAAATACTCTTGATTAAATCGGATTTAAGCTTAAATCAAGAACCAAGCCTCTTAAATTGAGCGGATTCCCTTTTGATTTAAGCTTAAATCTGATTGAATCAAGAGTATTTTTTCTTGTCAATGTTTTCAAGAGTCTGGACTCTAGATCCAATGTGTTTTTTTCCAGTGTGTTTAATCAAAGGAAATTTGGCAACGCCAAAAGGTTCATACAATGTTTTTCCTTAGCACGGCAGTATTGACCAACGAAAATCTCCTTCGAGACTTCCACGGTGGCGCTACCAAGAGGGAGGAGCCCGGAACTAAAATCAAGGCGGAACCCGCGAAAAACCACCCCGTCGTTGGCGGTGCGCGGGGGCGGCGTGAAGGGGCGGAACGGGGCGCGGAGACGGTGGTTACCGAAGGCGGCGAATATTCTAATCGGGTCCGACCCGCGATCCGTTGATAAAAAGACGTCCAACTTGTAAATTTTCATTACTGACCGCCGCTTTGGTTAATGGTGAGGAAATTGATATTTGTGGGGTCACGCCGGACTGACCGGGCCGGCTCCCGGGCTCCGCTCACCGCGCCGTAGTCAAGCTGACCCGAAAGCTCCCGGATTAAGGGCCGATCTGGACAAAATTTTGCAATTAGGAGTTACTGGCTCACTTTTGAAACAACGTAAGCTGCCTTTTATGACGTGCCCGACGTGATTTTCGTGCAATTTTACCCGTAAAGAGTATGTGATATTTATTTGGCTCTATCTCTTGTCTGTAACAAACCCATTACACGATTCTGAAGCCAATTCAGGGGACTGATTATTGAAATTTATAGACAAAAGCGATCGACAAAGAAGACATAGAGAGCATTGAGCGATCCTATTGGTTGAAATGGGTGCTTCTCATAGACTTAGGGGAGAACTGACGGACTAACTGTCGGGTCTCTTGTAGGTTGCCGTTAGTTAGTCTATTATTACTTACCTCCTTTCCCCAATCCAACCACACAACCAATAGGATAGCTTCATTTTTTCTCTGTATCCTAGGTCTATCTCTTTGTCTATTATTTTCATCAGTCAGCCGGCAAGGTTGGGCAAGGTTCCCGAATTTTCTGGTTTCCGACGAATTTTCACGAACTTACCACCTGTCATGATAAATGGATGAGAAATGATTCTCTAATTTTTTTCGCGAGCGACGAAATTTTTTCGCCTACGTCGTGCACGCAAGAGACGCTGCTACCACGTTGGCCGTCGAGGAGACGCACTATGGCATCTCAGCCGGAGCCGTGTAATTTGGTCAAGTACAAGATGAGATAGATAACAAGCCCCCCGCCCTCCCCTCTCCCGCGTCCAAAGCCCGGTGCCAAGAATGTATAACTCATATTTATCTGAAGACGCGGACGCGGGCACGGTCGGGAGAGGGTTGAAGTCGAGGGTGGTTGCGCTCCATTAGCGGGCGGTCAGCCCCTCGCTGTGAGAAAATACTTAACTTATCCTGGCCGCCCTCAAGATGAAAACATAATTTGTTGGCTTTCTTTTTCCCGCCACCGGGCTTCCTCTAAACTCCCACTGTCCTTGCTAATTACGCTCCTACATAAATTTTCCACCCCCCCCCGCCGCCGCCGCCACCGACTCAAAACCCGTCGTTTCCGCTTCCGGTCCAGGGGGGATTTTTGTTTCTTTTTCATGACATTTCATTCGATTTTCTCTACCCTTCGATTATCGATGCGTTTATTGGTTAAAAGTGGAGCACTGGGAAAAAAAGTCTCTTGGATCGAGAGTATAGACTCTTGAAAAATTTGACAAGAAAAAGAAACTCTTGATTCAATCGAATTTTTGTTTGAATCGAGAGCCAAGCCTCTTAATTTAAGCGGATTCCTTTTGATTCAAGCAAAAGTCCAATAAAATCAAGAGTAGTTTTTCTTGTCGATTTCTTTAAGAGTCTGGACTCAAGATCCAAGAGACTTTTTTTTCCAGTGAGAACGTCAACGCCTACTTGGACTTAGTCTTATTTGGACCGAGTTCATCAGAAAGAAACCAACCCACAAATCCGAAAAAATTAAGTTAAAGTGGATTTCCTCTAGCCATATGGTTTCTTCTGCCAAAAATTGAAAGTCGAAAAAAAGAAATTAGTTTGTGAAAAGAGGAGTCATGGTTTATTTTTTATTGAGCATTTCTGTGAAAAACGCTTACATGTGCGTTTGCATTTTAGGCCACTTCCGCCACCTTGGAGTTTCGACTTTGATAATTTGACTGAAAATTCGACTTATACGTCAAAAAATATTCCGTGACAGCGAAACTCACAAAAATCGATCGAACAGGCACCGAGATAGCATTTTAAGCCACATCCACCGTATAGTATTTTAAATTTTTCAAAATTTGGGTTGAAATTAAAATTACCCGTCAAAAAATACCATCAGGTACCAAGTTTCTTGAAAATCGATCAGACAGGAGCTGCATATCATAGGATCAGTAGGACTCTTCACCGTGGTAATCGATACCAGTCAATATACATACGGCAACGCGCCTTCAATTCCGTCTGATACTGTGCAATACCTCAGTGGTGGAATAGTTGCTCAGAGCGCCTTAAAAAGTATCGCTCTGACTTGACGGTGGAAGATCGCAATTACCGCTGAAATTACACCCAAGCGCGTGCACAATTACACATGTCCTCGTCATGAACGAACTTTGAAAAATTAACTGTGCGAGAGTATTACGAGCACTGCTGCAGTATTTTCATTGGATTGATTATGCGCGAATTAACGAAACCCGCGGATTTTGAAAAAGCGAAAATTCCAGAGGTCGACGTCAAATCCCTTGGGTTTTCTCTGTTTTTCCTCTTTTCCCCGGTAGTAGAAGCTCAGGACACTGAGAATAGGGCCCTTATCCTCTCTAGTACAAGTAGACTGATTCTTACATGCTCCGACCCGGACCATATCCGAATGGTTCGCGAAGATCACGAGGAACCGGGAGTCGGAACCCGACCAGACCCGAAGACAAATGACTCGCGTCCGAGTTAAACGCGGCGATTACACTCGTCCACCGCGGAGTCAACTTAATTACAATTTCGTCCGAGCCGGCGGTAAATCAACTCCAATTTGAAGCGGCAACATATTCATACTCCCGGCTCTAAATTATCGCAAGGGGGATGATTTAGAGCCCTGGGCCGCCTTCGCCTTATCAAAAGGAAGCTCCAATTTAATAACAATAATAATTCCGCCCGGAATAAACCTCCATGTCGAGCTCCTGAGGTCGGGAGTCTTAGCACGTAGACGTGACTCGTGCAGCGGTAACACTTAATGAATTAATCTTGACCTCGCCTCCCCCGCCGCCCTCCGGCTTTTCATCTTGCCCCAGGGTCCCCCGGAGGGGGTTTTTTTGCCCCCGCCCTGCAATGCGGAAATACCATTTGTCCGTCCCGCGGTTCGGGTCCCTTATCTTCACCCACCCCCCCCTCTTCTGTCGCGACCGTCTCCTCATCTTCCGGACGGCTTTTGTTCTCGTTTTGCGGAACTTTGATTAATTTTAAATGCGACGCCGTGACCGGCTCCGGGGCTATCATCGCGTATCAATTATTTAATGGCGCTTTTCTGGAGGTGAAGCGTCGGGTCGGGTGGCTTTCAGTTTGCGCGACGCGAGGTGGCGGAAAAAATTGCGGAATTTTGATGAGGGATCCGGAGCGTTTGCTGGTGAGCTTCGGTATAAGCCGCACCGGGGCTGAGATGTTATTATGTTACAACGTTTAACGATTAATTATGGCAAAATTGAAAAAATCGTAGGAACATAAATAAATTCTAAAAAAATTAAGTTGCCTCTAGGATTGATTCTGAAAAAGTATTAAACGCAAATTCGTCTTGGTTCCTTTCTGATTAACGCGGTCCACTTAATTTGCGTTAAAACTATTTAGTAATAAATCGACCAAGGGTCGATTTTCGATCTTTCTGTCGTGTGAATCGTTTTTTACTAAGCTTTTGAAGACAGGACATTTGACATCATCAGGATGTCTAGCTTTTTTTTCATTTTGGGAAATCCTGATTTTTGAATGCTAAATCCTGATTTCATAATGTTTCCGAATCCTGATTAAATCCTGACTTTTGGCGAAGAAAAATTAGGCGAATGTAACTTCACAAAAATAGTTCGGTAGGAAAGTCCGATCGGACGGCCGACGTTTCACAAATCCTGATTTAACGACCGATTTTGTTATCAAATCCTGATTGACCTCAAAATCCTGATAAAATCGGGAAAATCCTGATGCTAGACACCCTGCTTTTTTTCTGAATCAGATCTTGCCCAAAGGCCCATTTTAGGAGCCTCACCACGTCGATAGGAACATTCTGGCCAACTCAGGTAAAAATCAAAGTCGACAAGACGCAA